GTGGTTGTGCGGGCTGCGAGACAGCAGGCTGCACACTTACTGCAACATGCCACGGAGGTTCGGTAAACACTGTCTATACAGGAACCTGTAAACTAGGACCTGCTGAGAGCCCTCCTGATAACGGCATGCCTAGGGAAACGATAGCGACCGATGATGGGACTACATATGGGGATACCCCAGTCACCGGTGGGATAAAAGGAGGAGGATGTACAATGGGCTAGGCACCTGGCCCGAACAGTGATGGTGTCGCCTGCATCCGTCCGACTAATACAGCCAGATTCTGTTGGAAGTCCTGTAAGATCTCCATTTGGTGATGTTGCATATCAACTACACTTAACAAGACCGACCGTATGGTCCTCACATTGTCATTCATCTCCTCAGGGTCCATCTCCTCTAACTCACTAACGTCCACTTGTCTTCGCTGCATCCTGCCTCTTCTTCTATCATCATTTCTATCTCTGTCTTAATCTCTCTCAAAGCCTGCTGTAGCTATGCCTTGCCATCAGCTGCTCGTTGTATAGCGACCTCCTCGGGAGTCATCACTAATGGTTGGCTTGCCATAACGCCAGTAGACTTACTCAAAGCTTGCGCAACCGTTGACCCTATAAAGCCAGTTGACCCTACAACGCTTGTTGACCCTGCAGAGTCAGTTGACCCTACAAAGCCTGTTGACCCTGCAGAGCTTGTTGACCCTATGGATCCTAAACTACCTGTCGGAGAAGTCTGTTGTGCAAGTCATTGCCTCCGAAGCTGCGGCTTCGCTTACGAGCGCCCTGCTAGCCTTTGCTGGTCTAACCCTCCTCTGTTGTTGCTGCCTCTCTCTAAGCTGGCGGAATAGATGTCGGTCGCCCTCTGGTCCTAAAGCCGAGTGGGCGATCGGACGTCTACGTGAACGCAATAGCCGGTCGTCCTCTCTAGTGTCGTCCCTGTCGCTCGTAAGCTACAACACTGCACACAATCTGCACTAGCGCACTCTAGATGCCTACCGCAGAGTAATGCATAGACCAATTTAAAATAAACAACTAATTAATTGGTGGTTATGTCAGAGATTATACATTCGGGCCCAACAGTTAGATTCCTACAAACAATACTATTTTTAGTCTGACTCGTCCACGAACAGAATGCACAATGAGCAGAGACAATTCTTATTATGTTGTCTGTCAGATGTCATACAGTTGTACATCTAACTAATCAAAACACAAAATTTGATAAAAATAGAATCATTTGTGTGGATAGGACAGTATGGAATTTTTTTCTCAAACTGATCACCTGAAATCTACCCCTCCCTTAATTCCCCTGATTGTCACTTGATGTCAGCGTCCCTGAGCAATCAGGAGAGCGTTGCGTGTCTAAAAGGTGTGTGTTTGGCCCACCCCTGTGCTCTGAGTATCTGCTGAGCTGGCCAGCCCTGCACTGGATTATCCTCGCGTGCAGCGAGCCTTACAATCATTGGCTGATCCAGAGGCAATTTAACGACCGCCCCCAAGTGTCATCAGGAATTATCTTACGTCGCAGCATGACTACGATCACAGCCAATGATTTCCCCTTCCGGTGTTTATTTAAAGACGTCCGGTCTCATCCCCCACTTAGGGCTGGCCTGCCCTTCAGTACCCATCTAACATCGCAGCAAGCCGAACAAAGGACAAGCAGCAAAGCATGCGGGCTCTACTCCCGGTGGGTTGGCATGGTGACCGTGACCCAGTGCTTCGTCCAGGGCCTTTCAGAAAGCTCCGCCCATCTTCTCCCAGATGCTCCACGTGAACATTGCCGACTCTCAAGGTTGAGCGCACTCGACACCTCACAATGAGAGGACTCTCAAGAAGGAACACACAACCTCACGGTAAGAAGTGTCGAAGAGGGAAGATAAGGTTAAGAGCAGTGTACCTCAAACAGCTGCCCCCAACCATAGAGATAATCTCACCAGATGACCTGACGCCGATTGTGATGACCAGTCATTGCTTCGGCACAACCAGCATTGCACACCGTTCCACCTCAGCACCAATCGCACATCAGATAGTTCTCATCACACTGTCCAGACCCACATTACACCACGTAGCCTTYCTGGYGATMCCCTCTCCTGCTGGGTCGTCACTCACTCGTCTCCGCCCTCCTCACTACACACCACTTACGGCCCAACTCACCAAGCAGACCGCATGTATATACCGCATAGGCATAAGACAAGAAACTGCCATTTCGTCAAAATGGACATCTTTTATTTTTTGAATGAAATTAAAACCGAGTTTTTTGGCCAAAAACTTGTCAACATTTGCTGTTCCTGAGGGTCCGGCGTTTGTAAAACGCTGGACCCCATGGCTGTACATGGACCTACCTTGAGACCAGGTACCTCCAGGCAGTCCTACCTTGAGACCAGGTACCTCTAGGCAGTCCTGCCTGGAGGTGCCTGGTCTCAAGCTAGGCCCATGTACAGCAAACGCTGGACCCTCAGGAACAACAAATTTTGGTGAGTTTTCGGCCAAAAAGCTCAGTTTCAATTTCGTTCAAACAATAAAAATGTCCATTTTGACGAAATGGTCGTTTAGCGCCAGATGAGCGCAATCCTACCACAGCCCCGATACCAAATTGCAAGGAAGATGAGCAATAGCAAACTTCAGTAATCAAACAGCATCATATACACAAGACCAGATAGTCGTGACCTTGAACCAACAGCGGAATTGCATCACGAGTTTCACCAAATAAGAAGACACCAAGAGCTTATAATTGACAATGCTGGTAAAGTCTCATCATCATCATCAATGAAGAACCAATATTGATATCCTATCTGGCGCTCGGCGCCCAGACTACAGATGGCAGATCCTATCTAGCCTAGACTACAATGCCGAATGTTGAAGACAACAGCTTCCCAAAGTACGAGCATACGGCGGCCAATGTCGCACGCTTCCAACACCAGGTATGTCTCTCGCTTTACTCACAACCTCGTTCCCCAACACACAGATGCCACTTGCACCCAAGGACCACCCTGCCCCACACCCAGCTTACAGCAGCGCAGCTCGGCTATGGTTGCCTGCACCTTCCTGCTCGCCCGTGAGCGCGTGAGTGCCAGCAAGCTTCAGCGCAGCAGAGCTTGCGCAGCATGCAGCCACCACCCGAATGACGAATGTGGAGGCAGGCCCTTTGCTATATCGAAGTGGCCTGCCTGCGTTCAGTCCCAGGAAGCTTCCAGTAGGCCCCCGGTAGCCTGAGGCCCAGCACGAATGAAAACAGGCCTTGGGCCTGAGGTGGTTGCATGTACCCAACTGCCTTTGGCCTGTGTTTGGCCCAATACGCGTATCCAGCCCAGGGCCTGCTTTCCATACATTCACACAGGCGGCCCAGGGCCTGGGTTCTCTCAACCAATTGGCACTGCGCAACTGCCTGAATTTCCTTGAGTTGCGTGGTGACCGAAATAGGGGACCTCAGGCCCTCGTCGTGGGGCGGCTGACGTGATACTTGGCAAGGCCAAAAAGGGGCTCATAAGGGCATAAGCTTTGCATTCATATGTATGTTAAAAAAAATGAAAAACACAAAAAACAGAAAAAAACAAAACAAAACACACTCATAGAGGTGCAGAAAAGCAGTTCAATTTCTATTTCCTGCACATCTCCATCAACTCGTCCAGATTCAGCCGTTCTATCCGATCCTCTTTGCTAGTGGGACCACGCCCCAGGGGCTCATAGGGGCATAAGCTTTGCATATGTATGTTAAAAAAAATGAAAAACACAAAAAACAGAAAAACAAAACAAAACACACTCATAGACAACGGCCCCCACAAACACACACACGTACGCACACACACACACACACACACATAGACAACCCCCCCCCACAAACACACACACACACACACTCACACATATACACATACACATAAACTCAAACACAAACACAGACACACACGTGCACACACACACACTTGCACACACAC